AAGGCATCTGCTGACTTGCGGAGGCTGGAGCCAGGCTCAGCTCTGCCAGCACACGTGGCATGCAGGCCCCAGGGCTGCTGGAACAGCACCCCCCACACACCACCACTGGGAATATGATAAGGCCGCCTCCTCGAGGAGAGCCAGAGCCCACGCTCGCGGGCCTGTACGCGCCCCAGAGCGGACATTACTGACAGGGCCTCTAGCCTCCTCACCCCAGCTAAGGAGCCTCTGCCGGGCCCCTAGGTGCTGGCAGGAATAGAGCTGGGGACGTGACAAGCAGTATGAAAGGCAGCAAGCACTGGTAGGTGCTGAGCAGGTGAAAGCCCCTGCCTAATGCCCCTGATATCTCAATGCCTGGCAACTACTGTCAGGATGGTCTGAGCTCGGATCCTTTAAAGGGGAAGAGACAGACAGAAGCAGCTGTTGGAAAAATAGATGAAAAGTAACAAACGCAAGCACCGGGTCTCCCTCCCCTCTCCACAGGTGCTACAGTAACCCTGGCAGGAAAGGGCTGGAGGTTGCAGAGTGCGGCATGTGCCAAGATGGCTGTGGCTTTCAGAGAGCATTTGCTCCCTGCTGCTGGAGGGGGCTCAGAGCCAGACGGATTATGCTCTCCCACAGGGGTAACTGCGTGGTGCATGCTACTGTCCATCCCCACAGGCCTTACCTTGAGTACAAAAGTGTTCATGTTGTCTGGCATCTCAAGGCAGGTGCATCTCCGGATTTCTCGGACAGCAGAGCAGGTGGTGAGCAGCTTGGGCTTGGAGCACTGGCGAGAGAGAGAGAGAGAAAAATCACTGATCGTGCCCCAAACCAGAATCCCCACACCAGGAACACCACAGAGCCCAGGCAGAGACGGTCAAACACAGCCTCATCCTTCATACCACTGAGCATTTTCAGCTCCTGCTTGCCCAGCATGGCAACAGAGGGTGCCTACAGGGCAGGAGGTGCCCTGCAGGAAAAGCACTAAGCTCGGTGTCCTGTTTCCGCACCAGGATAGTAACATTCTAGGGACGAAGGTTTAAGCTAGTCTACAGCTCTCATCTGCTCTGCAGTGCTGCATCTTGGCTGCTGTTCCTGACCTCGGTAGGAGACAATTTTGGCTGGAGTTAAATGGAGACAAACTTCAGAACAACTTCCGAGGCAGCCCCTGAGATTGCATTTTGACCTCTACTGTCTGGCTGTGCCAAAACACAGACCAGGCGCTTGTGCTTAAGCAAATAACTGGCACAAGATACAAAAACAAGGCAGCAGTTCTGCAAGGAATCACATCAATATATTGCACAACATCTGGCCCCAGCACTGCCCTTTCAGACACATGGTGTACTCAGCTTCCTTGCAGCCTCCTAATGGGATAAAAACAACAGACACCAGTCTGAAGGCAGCTGACCTCGAACACGAGCAGTGCTCTTGGTAAGCCGCAGATCTGGGCTCCTTCCTAGATGGGGAGAAGATCGTTAGAGCCTCATTGTTTACCCCTTCCAAGATCGACATGTGCAAGCAATTGCTTCTTAATCAACACTAACTATGGGAAAGTACAGCAAAAGTAAACTACATTACCGCACAATATGGTTCCCAGACGCAGCTAGGTTTCCTCCCACATGTCAGGGCTGCCAAGTTGCATGGCCCCGCTACCATACATTCCACCTTTCGTCTCATTCGTTCTTGGAGAACTAAATCATCAGCCTGATTTTTCAAATCCCTATTTATAGGCCAGACTGCACAGAACACGAGTGGAAAAGGCACTGACATTTCCAGGTTTGTGCTCCACCAGGCCTTCTGTTGTGGTCTGAAACACTGCAGTTTTGATGCTGCCGCTCACGACGGAACACTCAGGAAGCATGAAAGGTCTGCATGCCTCATGGTCTCCCTGGGCAGAATCCTGCAAACAAGCTGCCAAAAAGAGAAATACTCTGTGGTGGGACGTCAGTGGCGTTGCACTAGGGGAATGCTGGGCCTGGTGACTTTCAAAATCGTCTTAGGATTCTCTGGTTAGTGAATTGAACTAGTTAGTGCAGCTATGTCTTAAAGCAAGGGTGGGGAACCTAAAGCCCAGGGGCTTGCCTGGATCCAATCTCCAGCCCCATGCTCTTCCCCTGGAAGCTTCCCCCACAGGGCTGGTCCCCATTGTAGGAGGGACGGAGACCTGATCTTTGCTGGCTGGGAGCAGGCAAGCCAGAGCCAGATCCGACCCATGGGCCTTGTGTGTCACTGCTGCTCCTCCTCCCAGCTGGTGCAGTAAAGCACTGCCTGGAGGCTTTTCCCCCTCAAAATCTACTAGCCAGGCCCCCACCCTCCCCGGGGCTCTGGTCTGCCCAGGGAACGTGAAGGGTTGGTTGGTTGGTTGGGTTTTATTTATTTATTTATTTAGCTTCTCGCTTGTGTGCAGACCCCCACCAATTTTTCTGTGGGTCAGTGCCCCTCCCCCCCATGCAAAAAAGGTTCCTCACCCTTGCCTTAAAGGCTCCTGATCTGTGTTACAGGAGTGCTCTCTCTCTGTGCACATGTTAGTTCTCAGCCAAGGCAGCAGTAGAAACACACAGCATCACATGGGTTTGCCAATTGCTCCTTTGGTGCAGCTCTTCTGAAGAAGGGGTTGGAAGCACTATGAGGCCCCTTTCAGGTACCTGGGGCCGGGCACCACTTAATATCACTTTGTAAAAACTTGGCTTGTGTGTTTTTCCAACACCCGCTCACACCTGTTCCGTTATTCAAGTTCCTAATTACACTGGAAAGGATTAACTCCCCCGTGAATCTTAGGCAGCACACTAATTTGTCCCTGTGCTTGCCAACATTGTGTTTAGACCCGGATTTGGCCCCAGACACCCAGACAGGAGATGAACTCAGGCCTCCCAGACCTGGCACCACAAAAAACACTCTCCGCCAGTTCCCAGCTGGCAGAATCCCACATGCAGCATCAGCAGCACAGCCTCACATTTTCCTATTCCTCCAACAGCTAATGAGAAAGCACATGGGTCCGATCTACCCTGGCAGCCTTGTGGGCTGTTGTGCTGGCCTCTAACAGGAACATCTATGCAACGGCACTGGAAAACTCTGAAGGTGTAAAGCAGAGTGGAGCTGGGCTACCCAGTTGTGATTAAAAGAACCGTTTCTTCCCTCTGCCTGGGAGAAATTCTCCTAAGCCTCGTGCTCTGGGCAGCTTTTAAATCCTCGTCATGTTTATTGGGTTTATGGGGTGCTCAAGGCTTTTGCTGGCCAGGGGGAGGGAGGGAGCCATCTTTTTAGACTGAGCAGCCGAGATTTCATCCTCTGAAAGTTATGCAGAGTAGGGGTCTTAACATGTCCCTGGGCTGATGAGTTAACTCACAAGGGTTACATGCACACCCATCCCTCCCCTCTGCTGCCATGCTGCTACTGCACATAGAGTCAGCAGCAGGGGCAGCCCGTGAGCCTAGGCAGACTAAGCGGTCGCCTAGGGTGTCGCCGGCCCGGGCGCCCAATGATGACATCATGGGGCACCCGGGCGCCCTGGCGGAGGCGCTGATCGCGCCCCCCCGGCCTGGGGTGCAAGCTGCTACAGCCGGCCTCAGGCCGCTCCTGATCAGCAACACATGGGGCAGAGGAAGGGAGGCTGGGAGTGCATTTACATGGGGAGCCAGTTTTCAAGCAGCTCCCTGCACATACCAGCTCTTGCTGAGCCAACTTCCCCTCCGCCCTGCTGCCTCTGATACAGAGTGCAGGGGGTTAGAAGGCAGGTAGGAGCTGGTGCTTGCTTTTAAGCCAGATTCCCAAAAGCACCAGCTCCCGCCTTCCCAACCCCCTCATGTAAACATGGAATCGCTGGAAAATTTACACGTTTACAAACATAAATGCATTTTAACCTCTCTACTGCAGAGTACACTGGACATGTTCAATTGGCCATGTGAGCTGCCAGACAACCTGACTTCAGTAAAAGGGCAGGGGCCAGGGCCCAGAGAGCCTCACCATAGCAGCATCATTGGTCAACCCTCAAAAAGGGGAGGGACCAGAAGGAACATGATCAAGCAGTCAGGTGGGTTAAATCAAACAGGGGTAAGAAATGAGAAGTGCAGGTGATGGCTTTCCAAAGCAACAGAAGCCTGCCTCCACTGATGAGGGAGAGCTACTGGGCTCAGTCTGCCATCCTGGAGAGTCTCCCTACAGAGCGACTACAGCTTGGGAAAACCAGGGCAAATAGCCTCCCCTACCCCACCATCTCCTGCTCCGTTCCAGCCTTTGCTGCTGGCAAGGAGCCACTTAATACCAGCTCTGTGGGGTGGTTTCTATGTTGTGAACACCAATCCACTAATCCTCATGCTTCAGGGCACGAGCCAGCTTCTACAAGGGGTCAGGAAGAAACTTTCCCTAGGGGCATATCACTTCATCCATGGTGGTAGGAGGAGGGGTCTCTTGCACCTTCCTCTGAAGCAGTCAGTCCTGACCTTGTCTGTCAGAGGACGCTGGCTGAAGGAGCTCGGTGTGATCGAGCTGTATTAATATGAGTAGGACTAAACATTGGGGAGAAACCTAGATGCTCTCCCGGGGGCAGGAAAAAACAGACTCAAGAGGAAAAACCCTTCTGGGGACCAACCAGTTAAGTAGCAGTTCTGCAGAAAAAGACCTGGGGGTTACAGTGGATGAGAAGCTGGATACAAGTCAACAGTGTGCCCTCGTAGCCAAGAAGGCTAATGGCATATTAGGTTGCATTAAGAGGACCATTGCCAGCAGATCCAGAGATGTGATTATTCCCCTTTTTTCGGCTTTGGTGAGGCCACATCTGGAGTATTGTGTCCAGTTCTGGCCCCCCCCACTACAAAAAGGATGTGGACGCATTGGAGAGGGTCCAGTGGAGGGCAACCAAAATGATTAGGGGGCTGGAGCATATGACTTACGAGGAGAGGCTGAGGGAGTTGGGTCTGTTTAGTCTGCAGAAGCGAAGAGTGAGGGGGGATTTGATAGCAGCCTTCAACTTCCTGAAGGGAGGTTCCAAAGAGGATGGAGAAAGGCTGTTCTCAGTAGTGACAGATGGCAGAACAAGGAGCAATGGTCTCAAGTTGTGGGAGAGGGTCCAGGTTGGATATTAGGAAAAACTATTTCACTAGGAGGGTGGTGAAGCACTGGAATGGGTTACCTAGGGAAGTAGTGGAGTCTCCATCCCTAGAGGTGTTTAAGTCTCGGCTTGACAAAGCCTTGGTCCTGCCTAGAGCAGGGGGCTGGACTTGATGACCTTCTAGCTCTATAGTTCTATGATTCTAACCCTGCGGAGATCAATTTCCATTTTTCAGAGCAATGTGGCATTCTAGACAGGTCCATATGTATGAAAACGGGAGTGTCATTATTACTTCATCTTGAAACTAAATGAGCCATTCTGAAAACCAGGGGAGCAAAGCTAGTTAAGGAAGAAAACAGAGGCAGTGAGACCCCTTAATACTTTTACCAGAAACCGTTTCCTTCTGGCAACAGTTACCAGCCTTGGTCAATGACCTGGGCTTTTCCACTGAGATCTGAGTTAACATCTTCGGTTGGGATGAGATGCATGAGTCATTGGCACCCAATAGAGCATCAAGGAAGTAATCCCTGTAAAGCTGCTAACAGATGGTGCCTTAGAGGCCGGCACAGGAAGCATCCCTACACCAGATGATTCAGCCCTCGAGAAATCGGGAGAACTAAGTCTAGTTAGCCCCACATGGAGACACTGTGTCCATGGGAAAAAATGTTGAATAAGTGGCATTATCAATGATTCATGGCAAAGCTGAAATGGTTCAGTGGCTGGGAACCCCCTCGCTCAGA